TCGTGACCTTTCAGAGTGTCAAGTAAGCAAAGCAGGACCTAAAATTTAGTCATATTGCAGTTTAGTATGTGGCAACTCTACTGGCAACTCTATATATGATATATGACTGAATCAAATGTTTTTGTGTTTATGTATGCTTGATCCTGTGAAAATCTAAGTTGACCCCTCTTGAGTCCCCTGAGCCAAAAACATGTAAAAACACACGTTTCTTTCTGCGATACAAACTCTTCCGAAGACCATGCGAGGAAAAATCATGCAAAGCATTTCAGTGAGAAACGAATCCACAAGCGCAAAAAAAACAACAACAAGGTAGTTTGAGCGACCCCTTGCTGTTTGGAAAAGAAACTTGGAAAGCACACTTCGGCTCACACATAAAGCAAATGTTCGACTGCTTCGCAAGTCAGCATCCTTGACATCCACACAAAGTCTAACAAACAAAACGCAAATTATCCCGGCAAAAGACCCCAAACAGTGTGTGTGAGGCTGTGAGGTCTAAAGGTGCAGCAGCAGAAAGTCTAGAGATCTAGACGCACTGGGGTCCAGAGAGGTGATGGTGGTGATGAAGGTGGAGATCGTGGTGATGGTGGCGATGATGGTGGTGATGGTGATGATGGTGGTGATGGTGGTGATTGTTGGTGATGGTAGTGAATGGGGGTTCAAGCTGGGAAAGGTCCACAAAGTACAACGCCTGCCACGAAATCTGCACTCCAAGGTCCACAAAGTACAACGCCTGCCAAGAAATCTGCGCTTCAAGGTCGACACAAAATTCTGCACCTGCACTTCAAGGTCCACAAAGTACTGCACCTGCCACCATTTCTGAAAACAAGCCACATGTCCAAAAGTCACGATTCACTGCACCTGTCACGACATCAGAGCACGTCGAAGATTAGCACCATGTCCAAAGTGCACGCGCCTCCCACGAAATCTACACATCGAAGCAAAACCGCTCCGATCCCTTGCGCGCGTCACGAAAAGTCGACTTTGGCCACCAAAACACGAGGTTTCCCTTGCGCCTACCACGAAAAGTGAGCACCGTGCCCAAAAATGCGCACGGCCCCACAACGAAAGCGCAGTCGCGACAAGCACCTGCCGCGTCCGCAGTCGACATGCACTTCAAGGGGTCAGAGGCATGGATTGCGCTGTAAATAGTAAAGAAAAGGCCAAACGCCCCGATGCAACACTTCGATTCAACACCGGCCTCTGACCTTTCTCTACATAGCGCGATAGAATGAATGAATCCTCGCTCTCACTCACTCACAGTTGACATTTGGAGACCTGTTGGAGGGTACTGGTGGACATGTTGTGAGTGAGTGATGAATCTTAAGTCAAGTAGTAGTTCATTGTTTGGCCAGCTGGTTACTTAGTTGGGCTCGGTTGGTATTATTTAGACTGCAAATGAATGTACGTTTTGGTGGCCAACCGATTAGCTAGGTCACTTAGTCAAGCCAATGGTAGAGCTTTCTTCATGTATACTCGCTACTCCTGTAATGTTAACTTTCTCTCTTTAAACTATGCGTCAATAATAATGAGTTTATTGGACTGCGTAGATTTTGCTATACTTTTAATTGCGCCAACATCCAGACACCAAAATGTATAATTTGTTGTTGAGTCATGCAATTGTAAACATGCTACAATAACAATGAGCTTTTTGGCCGGCCAGGATTTTGCAATGCTAGTTTTACTTGTGCAATGTTCGTAGCCAAGATTCTTTTAAGCTCTCCTATCGTCTTCTTCTTTATCCTTCTTTCTTCTATTGTGGAATCTGTATCTTTAATCTTTGCCCATCAGATTTCCAAAAGCACTGGCTAGCCAAAAGCTTTAGGTTTCCTTATTCAATCCCTATCAAACAAATACAAAACTTATTTTCAACTGGTACCCCTTTAGACTCCGCCCTGCTGGCTTGTCCTTGCCTTGTGCTTTCCCTTTTACTTTTAAGTTCTCCTATCTTCTTCTAAATGAGATGTTAACATTATTGTTCTTCGTTCCTGCTGACCTTTGTCCTTGGGTCACTCACTCGCTCACTCACACACTCCCTATCTCTTCTCCCTGCCTCCCTCCCTCCCTCCCTCCCTCTCTCCAACGTTCAGAGAAACCCGTCCCACAAACTCGGAACAGCCCTGTTTTCTCCGCTGCACGCTATACGTACAGTTTCCAGTGACAAAGCACCTGGGGCTGGCAATACAATATGATGTCAACGGTTGGACAGTTTCTCTGCATCTGTCAAACCATGTCTCAGCTCTACTTCCTCCGCGGTCTCCGCTGAAAGGCCATGTCGAACGGAGGAATTCCTGTTCCCCCCCGTGGTTTTACACCACGCAGGCGTTGAGTGGTTGACCGGGAGCGATTACGGCTGTCGGGACTCTAGAGTTCATGGAACCTGACGCCCCATAGACTCGAATTCGGTACTCACGAAGTCATTCGACTCCAGGCATGTCTTTCACCAGGGTCGTGTCGTTCACTTCACGAGCCGGTCCGAGCCGGCCACGAGTCCGAAAGCGTTCGGTTTTGAGTCGCTCCGCCGGTTTAGGCGGTTTGGGGTCGCTCCAGCACGGGGTGACCCGTGACCTGAACGGTCCGGAGCCGGAAAACCTGGAGGACGTATGGGATAGTCGGACCTGGGCTCTTCAACCTCTGGTCCCAAGGACACGGGGCCGCACACACGGCTGAGTACGGCCGCGGTGGGGGCCAGTTTGGGCGAACGAGACGAAGAGGAGGAACCGCCACCGAATACCCGGGAACTTCTCTGCACGAGTTACAAAGCATTAAAAAGACACATATATGTTTCATGATATTTTAGGATGATATCTACCATCCAAGGGGGAGATTAGCAAGCTGCCATGTATCCAAAGGGCTGCTTTTCACGAGTCGGGAAGTCTTACAGAAGGACTATGGGAACCTATTCTCATTCCTCTGGCGTTACAATCGTAAACATCCCCAGAAACCACAGGAACACTGCACGCAAGCGCGGTAAAAACTGGCGCATCCTCCCAAGCCTCATCGCCCATTCTTTCGCAAGAAGGCGATGTAGTGGCCATGGCCACATACTGCGGACGCTTGCTGCAGCACGTAATTCCTCTCTCAGCGCAAATCATGTCCAATATCTCTGAGCCACGGTGATCACACTGCTTTGGAAATTCGACATGGTTTGAATGGTTTGGTCGTGCTTGGTGGTCTCTTCAACAGACTTTCACCACATGGTTCAGCGAACAATGCCTCTCATCAAAAATAAGGCGGACTCTTGGTTCATGGTCTAGGCAGAGTCGAAAGAAACGTCTTTTGTAGATGAAAACAAATGGTTACTCGATGTAGCCATTATCCACTCACTTGTACAGTTTTTTACGCCACAACATGCTCTTCACCAATTGACAGGTCGGGTCAAACGAAGGCCGTGCACTCGTGCACTGCTTGGACAAGTTGACTCGTATCAGTCGCATCATAGCGTAAGATGCCGCAGTAGCAGTTGATCAATTGGAGTAACTTGGGGTACAAACTTAATACAAACAAGTGCATGCTCCAGGGTCGGAAACATGCCCCGACAAGTGTTTTTCACCGAGCAGCCTACAACAAAAGTGTTTGGTGGTGGGTTTACACCGGACTAGTGTTGGATCTCTGGCTATAAGTCTGTGAGCCACTGTGAGCCACTGCGCGACTGTGTTACTGGCCTGACTGAGTTGAGAAGTTTGAGGAGTGAAGTCTGCAGCCAAGGCGAATCGAACGTTCCTTTCTTCACCGCTTTTTTCAGTACTTCCGTGGATATCTATACACTCCGAAGAAGACATTACATGGAAGTGGACACCACCCTGTTGGGAAAGGAGAATAGTCATCCAGAGGTCCATGTTTACCCTTCCACCCTGGTGAGTCGGAGAGCTAAATTGAGCATTGCTCAAAACCTATCGAGAATTTGTTCTAATGAGATCTTCTTTCACAAGTTCCTTTCGCAACACTTTCGCGGCTTGCGTTTTGGCTTTTGCGCGCTGCATTCTGTGCAAAAACACTTTCGCAAGCTTTCACGGACGGAACTGATTTCGCAAGTGTTTGCCAACTTTCCGGAGCTTTCGCAAGCTTTCGCCAATGAAGAATTCGCACAACCTTTCGCGGATCTTTCGCGACTGCATGTTTTGCTTTCGCGAAGGCATAAAAAATAACTCTCACTTCAAATTGTTACTTGGGAAGTTTTGGCCACTGCTCGATTGGCCTTTTGCGCACGAGAGCGCGCGATCAGCGATCGACCAGCTCTGGCGGTGTCTTCTTCGAGCGGAATGGCACGGTTCCCACGTCGCTTTCGACGGTACCCCGATAAACTCAGCATCGACTAAGAAGTCCTAAATACTCGGCAAGGCCATGAGGCGCGTCACCCACGCGAAAGCCACATTCGAGGGGTGTTCTTTTCTTTGGTCAATTGCACTGGCAAGGCCTTGGGCCATGCCTAAGGGCTCACCCGGATTAGATCCGGACGACTGACTGGGGTCTTTTTCAGGGTACGACGGTACTCACCCCTGGTTGGCGCAAATGTTTCTTCCCTAAGAATCATTGGACCCTCCTATGGAGGGTTTGGACCCTGCAGAACGCAGGGTTTGGACCCGAACCAAACCTTCACCTTTGAGGGTTGTTGATTCTTAGGGTGGCTTCACAGCCAAAAAAGAACACCTAAATATTGATGCAATTGCTCATGGCCAGGGGGCCTGGGTCAGCAGACGGCCATCCCGCCATCCCGGTCTGTTGTCTTCCTTATCGCTGGCCCAAGTCAACCGGACCGGTTGTGGGTTGCAACGGGGGTGAAACGGCTCGGACCGCCGTGCCAACAGCCCGGCTCGTTTGGTTGATTCTGAGAAACCCTGCAACGAAACTCGCGAAGACGATGAGTCGAGAGCTAGTGCTGCATGGGGTTAAGACGCCAAAAAGAGCCATGTCATATTGGTTGAACAAGGAGACTACTTTGGCTGCCTGTGAATGACCGCTTGCGCTGTCAAGAAATGACAGCTGTTGGAGCTTGAACAGCACACCAACCGCTGCCAAAGTTTTGGCGAAATCCTAATGTAAAAAAACATTAGCAAGTGGTTCTGCAATCTCCCAGTCATGAGGGTGGAACAGACAACCGCTAGTCTTCCTCGCGTATGCTGCCTGAATCTTCGAGGCAGGCGCATGTGGCACTGCCGCTGCGCGTCCTGCGGTGCAACAAATTGGTGGCCATTTTCGTTCAAGCCATTGGGCTTTGGGTTCTGGGCCGCACTCTTTTTTCCCTCTGCTTTCTCCTGTAGGCTGTGCTGTAGGCTGCGCGTGCCACCAAGGTCCATATGGCCACCAGAGGTGGCGCCTGCCGAAGAGTCTGGTGGTGTTGGGGGGATTGGGTTGACTTGAGGCCAGAGGGGGTGAACGAAAGCTAGGCGGGCGGGGAGGCGTGCGCATGCTAGGGTGTGGCTGCGCAGACCACCAAGCAACAGACCACCAAGCTAGCTGAGGCTAGCTTTCGTGATTATAAGACTCATTGAGGTTCCAAATTGTTCAGTCGGACATGGTTTGGGCTCAAATCTACAGCCATTTGGGCACAAGTTCGATCTACGGTTGGCTTTTGTTTGGTGGCATGGCGTGGCTTGGACACAGCATGCTCCCTTGGTTGCCCTAGTTACAACTCACGCGCATGTGTTTTTAGTTGTTCATGCCACTTACCTTTCTGTAAGAAAACGGGTGCGCACGTCCAGGAATGAGGCATGCTCTGTCTGCGCTCAGCGAGGCTGTGGAACTCTTCATGAACCATTGCCGGATAAGGGGGAAGAAGTTTCCTAAGCGTCAGTTATTTACGTACAATCACGCGCATCTTTTCCTGAATTTCTTTGTAGTGAAACATCTGAACCAGCCTACATGATCGCTAGCTGGTGGTGAAGTACAAAGCATGGATCATCCGATCCTTGGTCTGCCTCCAGGGCAACCCGAGGGTTCACAGGCCGAAGGAAGAGGAAATTAGGAAGCTGATGGAAGCTGAAATTCTCATTCCCCAAGCCAGCCCAAGAGGACGAAATTCCAACCGGATCAACTTGATCAGTCCTTCGTCCCCCAACCGCGCAACCTTTTTATTGAAAATGAGTGTTGCGGCTATGTTTTCTTCAATCCCTTTTTGGACGCTCTGCCCATGCAGCTGTGCCTGAACCGAGGCGGCAGCAAATCACTCGTGCCCCCTGCCAGGTGGGGGAAACAGTACAGGGGATGGTGGAGAGTGTGCCCAAAGCATCCCAGGTTGAAAAAAATCAATCGAGATTGATTTTTGCAATCGATTCGTTTTGAGAATTTCGAATATTGAAGTGCTTTGCACTGGCACCCAAAAAGGTGCAGGCCCCATATATAGAGCAAAAAACTGGTGGCCAGGATCGACCAATTTGTGTTAACTTGTTTAAAGTCGGCCGCTAGAGTTGTTTGACTTGTATCTTTTCTGGAGAAGGTTCGGTCCTCCGAAGTCGGTCCCCTTCAGCAACTGGCTCCGCACCAGAATCGCCTGACTCAAGTATCAAAGAAAAGCGTGGGTGTGTTGAGTTGCTGGCATGTTGAATCACCAGCGATCGAAAAATCGGAATTATCTTTCTGTGGAGGTCCAAGCGCGACGAGATCCAGCATAACTTTGTGCAGTGCACCAAACTCGATGTAGCCCTGAATGCTTTGCTTTCTCAGGGAAAGTGACGTGACATCTACATGCTTTTGTTCTAGCGCATGCTCTTCCCATACCCAACTTCTTTCCCATAAACTCCCACAGCTTGGCTTCCCAGCTGAACCCAAGGTCAATGAAATCCAGCAATGCTTCCTCAGTGTCGCATGCACCAGCCGAGGCAAAGGCAAAAGCTGGAGCAAAACCCAGAGCCCGGCCCCCCAAAAAAGGCCGCGGCTAAGCCCAACTTGGGCAACCAAGTATAGAGCCTTTTTCTTGATTGGGTGTGCTTAGCATTCGACACGATGCGACATGTCTTGCAACCTTGTGCCATCATGCAACATGCATATTTGGGGACGCACCGTGCCTGGCTTGTTTGTCACTGCCGGTTCAATCACAATTCGATGATATTCGATGTATGTTTATAATCTGACTCTGGCGATCGTGGGAAAAACGATCGACGGGTAACTTGCACATGCAGTTCGATGCTATTGGCACTTGGTGCTTCAACGTTTCCGACATGACAGGCCATAGACCAGAGCGATGTGACCCTTGCAAGTTCCAACCTGTTCATCTAGACCCCTTGTGGTGTTTGGGATACTGCAGATTCATCCAGTTCGGACGAAATGGTGGATGACATCGAAAACTTTGCCAATGGCGTTTCTTGGTGTCTTTAAATGCGCCCAGGTATCAAAACTCAATTCTTTGCGGCCAGTGGTCATAAGGCAACCGCAAAGGATAACACAGATCAGTTGCTTAAAAACATGGTTTCTTTGATGCAATATTATGGGCTCCAAAACATAACTTGAACTTGAGGAGGGGTGAACGAAAGGTACTGAGGACACATGGAAGAGGGAGACTGCTCTTGGACGAACAAGGCTTCTAAGACTACCTCTCTCATCTTTGGGCTGATCTACTTCCATGCGGGGGTGGAGATTATTTGATGTATGGAGTGCTCGCATGATGCTCATGAACGGAACCGAGACAGTAATAAAAGAAGCCTTGCCAAATCATCTCACGTATATGATACTGCTCATTGTTGCCCCACCGTGGGAGTTGAACCATCAAACAGAATCACTACTTAAATCCAAAAGTATCCAAAAATCATGGACTTTCAACAATGCAGCCCCCCCTTGCTTACGCAAGATAGAACTCAGGTAGCAAATGCTACCTTTCGTGATTTGACGATTGTTCAATGTAGCACCTAAGGACTTTGTGTGCAAAGCATGACACACGTCAGAGCAATGGATGCCGGTTCTCGCCCACATCAAGAACAAGACACTTCCTCTTACCATCACCATGGCGGATACCCCGCTGAGAGCCCGTGCTTTTGCTCGCCGCAGGAAGATCGTGACTGAGCCTTGGCCATTCCGACTATTGTAGTTGGTGCAAGCTCACGAGACACCGGACAACCTTGAAGGAGTTCACACTGTGTGACCTCAGGATGCAGCCGTTCCCCAAGAGCATTGGCTGCACGCTTGATTATGATTTGTCATGCTGGGGTTGTTGTTGTTGTTGTTGTTGTTGTTGTTGTTAGTTTTGGAGGTTATCTTTCCTAAATCCACTTTGTCCACCACCAACTCCGTTTAGTTCCGACCATTTTAGGCTGCAAAGCAGTGCTGTGCTTGGGACCAGGCTAGATGCTGTCATGATGAATACCAATCCCAACAATGTGCCAGCTACCTGGCTTTGGATCCCATGTTTATAAAGACCACCTACTCTCTAGTCTCTAGGACTTTTCGGGTGAAGCGTAGCAGCGCCAAGATAGGTCCAAAGGACATACAAGCAACCTCCATCACCCACCCGCTTTCTCAACAGAAAGAGGGATTGCTGGTATGTCCCTTTGACCTCTCTTGGCAAGAGTTCAGTTCTGTTGGTAAGGATTGTTGCCAGAACCTGTTCAAAGTGGTCAAGTGGGAGATCTCGGCCACGAATTGCTTCTTTAGATTGGTGTACCTTGGCCTTTGGATGGACTGTTGACAAGCCTAGCAAGCTGTGCAGCATGGGTGGGATACGTCAGAGCCTTGCGTGCATAGCAAAACAAACATCACGTGTTTCAGCTGCATGTGGGAGTTTTTGGAACACCGCGGTTCCACTTGGCTGCCTGCCTTGCGGCGGGCTTGGGATGGAAGCTTTTGTACATATACGTCCGAAGGTTCACATGTTTCAACATTTGGTGTTTCTCGGCTAAACAGGCTCAATGTGCATGTCCCCTGTCCGCTGAACCACCTCATGGGTATCCAAGTCATGCTTGATATGGAGCATCAACTTGGAGACCCGCAGTGTCACCACCACAATAGATATAAACACGTGCCTCTTCTGTTGCCTGAGCTGTGCCTGCTGTGCTGATGAAGACTTTGTGGGCAAAGTGGCCAGAACTTCGAGAAGAGTTTCAAGTGTGTTGGTGGGTCCCCAAACAATCAAAAAGTGTCTCATCCAATATCGTTTGGAGTGGCAAAAAGCACTGCCCTCCCCTTCAGCTCGGAGCCCGGGCAAAGAAGTGAGCTCCCTTTCCGAGAAAAAGTGTGTGTGCGCTGAGGCAGGCGGATGTGGACTGGGTGAGGGCGAGAGTTGATGTGGTGTGCTAGCTAAACGATGCTAATCGAGGCAAAGTTTCTTTTTGCATTCTCAAAACGAGCACTTTTTCCCAAACGAGGCAAACTTCAAAAGAGGCATAAAACTACAGGCATATAGCTAAGTACCTTTTGAAGACTGATAGAGGTGGGAACCAATGCGAAAGCCAGATTTCATGGTGGGTAGAAGTCTTCATTAGCTCAGCGTAGTCTAACTTCTGGCACGGTCTGAGTATGTCTGAATTGAAGACTTTCTTCAACATCTGCCTTGTCAGGTACTTACCCACATCGGAGATGAGACACGGTACAAATGGGACCGTGCACGCTTGTGCCCAGCGCTCCAGAAAAGTCTTTGTGCAGCTCATGTTCGTCGAGGTGATTGCCCGACTGATACTGCATCAGTGGCCCTTTGTGTCTTGGAATTTTTGAAGATGGAAAAGTGTTTTGCTTTTAATGAAGTTTCAAAGCAAAAGGGGCCATTCATGGGACCCTTGGCTTAGAAAAATGCAAAAGAGTGCGCAGCGAAAAACATCACCAAGCAAAGCAACGCTGTGCTTGGGCTTGGCAAGTTGAACTTGGTGAAGAACGGTGGTGAGTACACACCGTCCGAGCTGATCAAGGAGTGGAATCGCACGGCTACAAACCAATCGGAACTCCAAGGGCAAAAGCGTTCAGCGCGCAGCTCGAGAGCATGGAGTCCTCCGCGACATTTCGATTTCGGGACCCGTGTCAGTTCGGACGACAAGTGACTGAAAGACCTGGCCCCGTTTTCGGAATGCAGTCTTTGGTCCGTGCCCAAACATGGCCTTGATTGGAGAAGCACGTGGCGCAATGGGTCAAGGCATCTGTCCACCCCAGCTGGACCAAAAATAGTACAGCGATTTGAGTCTAACGTCGAGGCCATGTGACTGAGGTCAGAAAAGATTAAAGCTCGTGAGACATGCACTTCGTGGCCCAATTTCCCGGGGACGCCACATCGTATAGCCCCAAAAGCGCATCGGAAGCGCAATTTGCACAAACGCCAGCACAAATGGCTCAAAATTACATGTGGCAAGCGCCCATGCGATGAGCCGACACAAAGGGAAGAGCTCCAGCGCCACTTAGCTACGGGAGGCTAATCAAGGTTCACCCTGGATTGGCCCGTTGTGATGAACACATCCAGATCGGGAGGCATTGGAGACATTTGGAGAGGCCGGCGCTGAAACGATTTGACCATCATGGAAATCAATATGACACGGAGTTAAATGTGCGGAGCTTTTGTGACTAACCCGCCTATACCCCTCTGCATGGGCAGAGCTGCAAACCGCTCCCACAAAGCGGCCCCTGCCTTAGGCAACCATTGACGCGGCATCTTTTTGATAATTGAGGTGTCTTGTCACGGAAGAAATGTCTTCAGCAAGCACTTATAAGGCCTTTTGAAGAGCCAGGAAGCCTTCAATTTTGCAACTGATTTCTCAATCTCAATCAAGACCAAGGAAGGCACTAAGTCGGGTGGGTGTGGCCCTTCCAGCAAGACATCACATCGTAGTTTATAGCGCAGTGTCATCAGTTAGGACAGTTAGGGCCACTTGGGCTGCATAGAAGTGCAAGCTCGGAAGCACAATTTGCACACACGCCAGCACAAATGGTTCAAAATTACATGTGGCAAGCGCCCATGCGATGAGCCGACACAAAGGGAAGAGCTCCAGCGCCACTTAGCTACGGGAGGCTACTCAAGGTTCATCCTGGATTGGCCCGTTGCGATGAACATATCCAGATCGGAAGGCATTGGAGACATTTGCAGAGACCGCGCTGAAACGATTTGACCATCATGGATATCAATATGACACGGACTTAAATGTGCGGATAGATTTTGCGACTAACCCGCCTAAACCCCTCTGCACGGACAAAGCTGCAGACCGCTCCCACCAAGCGACATCTCTTTGGGCACAACGGTCCCTGCCTTTCCCCGTCCATAGCTTTTGAGCACTTGTTTGCAACCAGAAACAGCATTGTTTGTTTCTCACAGTGTCTTGTCACTGAGAAGATGCCTTCAATTAACATTTAAGACTTTTATGGAGATCCGGGAAACATTTTCAGTGTGGCAACTAATGTGCTCCTCTCTCAGTCCAGACAACAAAAAGCTGAATCGCTCA